CTGACCAATCAGCAGGCAAACGGACAGATTCCACAGCAGACTGCTGTTAGGAGACAGAACCAAAGTGCTGAGGAATGTTCTTGAGTGCTCGCCCCGTTTCAGACGCTCATGGTCCGCATATTCAACACTGATATCTTTGGTTTTAAATTAACCTTGAAGTTCAGCCACCCATTCACATGTTATGTTCCAGCCGAAATAACAGAAACAAGCTTTGCCTTGGAGGACATTTTTTTTTGCAGACTACATCCGGTGTTGAATTCTTGTTGGCGGCACCTCAGGTACAGCTTTCCTCTTTGAGGCTTTCCCGCTGAATACACATTGCCATGTAAGGAAGGTAAAACACTCCGAACACAGGAAACTTGAGGAGCTGAGAGAAGGAATTGTGGGAGAAAGAGACCGAACAGGAACTGAGAAGAAACATAAACCTAAAACTGACACAATTAATCAGCCCCTGCAGCAAGTGTGATTTAGGTCATACGCTTCACTTTAGATACTGTTCTGTTGTATTTCAAGTGATTGTCATTTGGACAAACGATTCCTTTTTAATTCCTTTAATTGGTCCAGATGCTTAAAAATGAGGACACGCTGCATACTCTGTGGCAATGGTTTTCTATCCAACAGCAGAACAAGACATCTGATTATGAGGCATGTCATGCAAAAATAGCAGATAAACAACGTACAGAGTCATGAAGGAACAATTTCCTGAGACTCACTAAACCTGCAGTCTATCCATAAGGCTCGGTGCAAAGGATGCTGAAATTCGAGCCCTTCTTTCTAGATATTAACTCGTGTATTTAGGGAGAGAGTGAGGTCTGAAAGTGCTACAGAAGGAGTCATGCCACGTCAGCATGTCTAAATGTCACAGAGCCAAAGATCATGGGGGACCACAGAGGTTACGCCAGAGTTTAAAGTCAACATGAAATGGCATTCTCAACCCATTTTACTTCCAAATGCGACAAAAGTCCAAGTAAAACAAGAGAAACAATTAAATGAGAAACAGATGTTTGACTATCAACAAAGTCCAGGTACAATTTCCAGGTTATTGACTATTTAGACAGGAACACACTGTCTGGCCGACAATAAAAGTGACCAAACACAGTTTGATGTGCTTTTACATGTTGTTTTATGGCGAGCTTATCTGAAATTGATTATATACTGTATATGTATGTATATATATATATATATATATATATATATAGTATAAAATATGGTGCCCTTTGTGCAAAGATGTACAGTTTAGCGTACTTTTAAAATAGTACTGATTATGGGAATGAAATGAAAATGCATTATACATTAAATTGCATTTAATTAAATTTAAACATGTCATTTAAAACTTATATTGTCTTTGAAATATGGTTAAAGTTACTGCTGAACGTGCTGAGAAGCATTTATGATAAACTAAAATACATTTTAATGTCATTTCTATTAAAACGTGCATGTCATGTATTTAAATTATATTTGTAATTACACATTTGTAATGATATATTAACTTTTTTAATCAAGTGCTTTACATGTGCTTTAGTATGTTAGTCAACACACTTCTTCAAAGCATGACAAATGATGACACTTTTTAAAATGGTACTTAAGTGTGTTAAGAAACAGTGTTAATTTAGGTACATTTAGTACATCTTATTTCATTAATATTGTCTGCAAGTACATATACTTTTAAGATTTGAAATACACTACAAGTGCACATTCAATACAATTAAGTGCATTTCTTTTTCTCAAACGACAGCAGTCTCTCTGAGCAGAAAATGACTAGAAGCACTTTTTATTTTTGAGTGAAATTCATTTGTATTTCATGTTGAAACACTACTACATCCAGGCAAGAGGCAGGGCAAGTTCTGCTGGAGATGTTCCATCTCTCTTCCAAAGTCACACATCTATTGGACAACTGCCCCATGGGTAACGAACACAGTTTATTTCTTCCCTAGAAAGCAATCACATAAGTCTCAATCTTGTCCCTGGAGTACGTCCTTTCTGCAGAGCTCAGTTTCACCTCTAACCAAACACACCTGAACCAGCTAATCAAGGCCTCAGTACCTATATGTGCATAATATATAGTACTTTAAAGATTAGTGTCAAAGGTGCTCCCTTTCAAAGTACATATTTTACATCAAGTATGTACTTCTAATGTGCAGTAAAAGTATGCAAATTGGGTGTCCGACAAGCTCTTGGGGTTCATTCCAAATTTATGGCCCGGCATGTTTGATTAGAGCAGAAAATAAAACTCAGCAGGAACTGGGAACCAGATCATGTAAATATGCTTTATAGCCTCAATAAATGAGTAATATGTCATAAATATATCCAAAGCTTCTGCATGGAAGACATTCACTGATAAATATACCAACTGCAGAGGAAGTGTAACCATTCACTGTGACCGACTTGCCATTATTTGAATTGATTTTTTTTCCCCATGCTGGTCAACTATTCTGCCCCTAAATTAGGGCTGTGCAATTAATCGCATGCGATTGTCATGCGCATCTAGTCAGTAAAGCCGGTTGCATGATTAGTAGTAAATCGCCATCACCTGCTTTCAGATGGAGCAGCATTTAATACACAGAGCCGTAGTTCACTGACAAGCTAGGCAATATCGCGTTCATAATCGAATGCGATTAATCTGCGATTATGAATGCAATATTGCCTAATTGTCAGTGAACTACGGCTCTGTAGTAAATGCCGCTCCATCTGAAAGCAGGTGATGAAGATTTACTACTAATCATGGAACCGGCTTTACTGACGAGATGCGCATGACAATCGCATGCGATTAATTGCACAGCCCTACCCTAAATGTAAAAAAAGAACTGTGATTGTTCGCTTGTAAACAAATGGTGCCTTGTCATCTTTGGTGGGTGATTCTCAGCCAAAATGAGCTGCAATGAGGACCAGATTTCATGCAGTTAGTCTGAAGTCTGGCTATGGAAGACTAGACAAAATTTGGCCTTGCTCTCCCTGTAATTTTGACACTCTCATGGTTATTTAGTCAGGCTGTAGGGGAGGCAGAAAAAGTCACTATGTAATGGATAGCAGAGGGTCTCCTGCAGTACTGAATGGACAGGATTGGAACAGGAGGTGTGACTAATGTTTCTCATGTTCACAGCTATCAAAAGAAATATACACTTAAAAATAGGTTTTCCAAAAGGTGGTGTTTGCAGCAACGCCACAGAAGAACTATTTTGAGTTCCCAAAAAAACCTTGAACGATTCTCAGTGAACGATTCTCAAAAGAAACATGTTTTCTCTTAGTGTGAAGAACCTTTTAATAATCTAAAGAACCCTTTTCCACTGTAAAGAATCTTTTGTAGAATGGAAAAGTTCTATGGATGTTCAAGGTTCTTTATAGAACCACAGATGTCAATAAAGAACCTTTATCTTTAAGAGTGTATTACAGGCATGCTGGTGCTGTCTTATGCCAGATTTACACTACATGGTTTGCAAAGTCATCCGATCGCTGTTCCTTTCACACTACATAACCGTTTAGTGTATCGTGAAGTTGCTGTGGTTTGCACATTACACAATGGATTGGCGATTGGGGGTCACACATTACACAATATTTCACTAGGAAGAATCCCCAACGACTCCATCTCATTTACAATTCTGGCACAAGACAGGAATTCGCTAGAAGCTTGGATTCCAGGTTGGCTGTGCACTGGTTTGCAGTAAAAAAACAAAAAAAAGAAAAACATAAGAATATGGATGAGAGAATGGTTGGGGAGATGGTTCCACCCCCTAAAATTTCCCTTGCCTCGTAACTTGCTCTATTATTGTCATTTCCAGTCAAAACACATTTCACACTGCAGGACTCCGAGATGCTGTTTGTTAAGAATTTCACCTTATAGTTTGCATCCATAAAGTTCCAAATAAAAGATAACTCAATCATGAAAAAGAGAAAACAAGTAGCTTGAGCAGAACAAAATGCAATCAGTGTCAAACTGGACACAGAGACTGAGACAAATTAATTGACATACATACATTACATTCAAAAGGTGTCATACTGGTGCCATCACGGAATTAAAGGGTTAGTTCACCCAAAAATGAAAATTCTGTCATTAATTACTCACCCTCGTGTTGTTCGAAACCTTTAAAAATTAAGATATTTTTGATGGAATATGAGGGCTCTCTGACCCTCCCATAGACAGCAAGGTAACTACCACGTTCAAGGTCCAGAAAAGTACCAAGATGATTGACAAAGTAGTCCGTGTGACATCAGTGGTTCAACTGTAAAGTTACGAAGCTACGAGAATACTTTTTTGCATAAAGAAAACAAAAATAACTTTACTACACATTTTCGTCTCTACTTTGGACATGCGTTCACGACGTCATTACGCCGGATCTGGGTCAGCGCCGCCACACGTCATGGTACTGTCGTGAACGCGCGTCCGAAAGTGACGCAGTAGAGACGAAAATGTGGAATAAAGTAGTTCTTTTTGTTTTCTTTGCGCAAAAAAGTATCCTCGTAGCTTCGTAACTTTACAGTTGAACCACTGATGTCACACGGACTACTTTGTCGATCATCTTGGTACTTTTCTGGACCTTGAACGTGGTAGTTACCTTGCTGTCTATGGGAGGGTCAGAGAGCCCTCAGATTTCATCAAAAATGTCTTAAATTGTGTTCCGAAGATGAACGAAGGTCTTACGGGTTTCGAACAACACGAGGGTGAGTAATTAATGACAGAATTTTAAAGAACTGAAAATTAACCCTTTAAGTTAAATAATGATAATATACCAATCTACTTGAACTACAAACTTCTGTTTTGTTCCTTAAAATTATAACTGCCATAATACAGGTGGCATATAATACTTCATTGTAAGTAGGCTGTCCATAAAACATGACCAATACTCACATATAAATGGTGCACAGGGTCATACACAAAGACAAAACACCATCATGACACTAAAATCATGCAATAAACAAAACATTTATAGAATAACTGATAGTTGTTCCGTCTAGCTGTAGTACACATCTACACGCTGTGAAAAAGTACATATCACGCATCTTACCTGGACAGGTGTTTCTTGCACAGGGATGACCTCAGGTTCAACTGCGGGCTGTTCTTCTACAACACCAACTTCCTCAATTACAGGCGCGACTGCAGCAAGCTCTTCCTTTTTCAGCTCAACAGCTATCTCCTCTTCAGCCTTTACCTCTGCCTCTTTGAACAAAGAGAATGAAGCTCAGAAAAAAGCAAGGATACACAATGTTGTCAGTGTGGTTACATATGAAAACCTAAGTTTATATTAATATGTTATCGGAGTTTGAAAAATCACGACTAGAGAATTGAGAAATAGAATTATTATTATTATTATTCTAAAAGAAACTGATTGGTTCCAAAAAGTAAGGGAACCAAACCAAAATCAAGACCAGAATTCTCTGATACAAGAATATTCCAATATTAATCAGAATTTGGTCATATTCTGGTTATGCCATGTAAATGTATGAACCGGCCACAACCAGATAATATTATGGTTTTTAAACAAATCTGGCATATGCCAGAATTTTGGATCATATAAACACTGTATTCACAATATCCATAAACAAACATTCATTTAGATATATCACCAAACAAAATAATTGCGGGTGATATTAGATACAGAAGAGTAGTAAAAAGTCAAGCAATTGCTGGAATTAGGGGTCGACCGATATGTGTTTTTCAGGGCCGATACCGATTATTACAGATCAGGTAGACCAATAACCGATATTTTGAACTGATATATATATATATATATATATATATATATATATATATGTCTGGTGTAAAAATTAAAATTAATGTCAAAATGAAAAATAACAAGGGCTCTGACAAAAACTCTTTAAATGCTTTTAAAATATTTTATTGGCAAATCGGTTTTGAAAATGACCGATACCGATAACCATAAAAAAAGTTTAATATCAGCCCCGATAATCTGTCGACCCCTAATATGGTTTGTAAATTGTTTTATCGGCAAATCGGTTTTGAAAATGACCGATACCCATAACCAGCTTAATATTGGCGCCGATAATCGGTCAGGCTGATAATCGGTCGGCCCCTAGCTGGAATACATTATTGGAGCAAGGAGGGCACAGATTTTTATTACATGTATACAGGAATATTCCAATAGATGTGGAGTATGTAAACATTTGTTTTCCAAAATAAAGCCATAACCAGAATATGGACTTTAATCAGAAAGTGATATTCTTGTAAAATTGGTTATTGTATTAAAGTAAGAATGTAATGAAGATCATCATGTAGTCCACCAAAGGGAGAAACATCACAATCAGTTTTGTAAGACTGGAGCTCTGAAGCTCATTTTTAGCACATTTCGTTCTTGTAAATGTCAGTTCCACAAGAGTATTCACTGAAGATCATGTGCTCGCTAGTGTTACACACACACACACACACCTGTGCTCAAGACTCCTTGAGCACTCAACAGCAACATGTTATACAATATACACTTTTAAATATAGTGGATATACGTTTGAAGCCATATATAGAAGGGCCCTGGAGTTTGCCATGTCCAAAACTCTGAGTTCTACTGTAGTGAGCACATTCTTAGACGAGACCAAACGTGTGTACTCATATGAAAGGTCAAAAACCCTGCTGA